CGCACTATACGCACTATACGTAAAGTATCGTATAGTGTCGTATAGTGTTCAACTATACGCTATTTGCCCATCTCTAACCTTTCCAAAAGCGGTTTGTGTACTGAATAAAATGATTTTGCACCACACGAATTTTTAATGTTGTTATTACACAAATCTTTTCTTTTTCATCTTCTAATCCATGTACAATACTTTCTACTAAATTTTCAATATAAGGTTGAACTTTAGATCCCATTAAAACAACAACCTGTTGAACAATCTTTATCTTGTTTCCCATGATTTTTTAAATTTACATGTGATTTTTAAAAAAGGCAATAATGCAGGGTCTCCGTGTGTTGATGCTAATATTGAAATGACTCTTGCTGTAATATTTCTAACATTTTCATTAACACTATTGATATCTACACATGTGTTATATATAAATAATTAATATATAATATATTTATTTCTATTAAAAATGTAAGTGTATATATATATCTTCTACCATTGCATCAATCATAATTGGTAACCCTGCAGCTTTACTTAAACTACTTATAATATCATGGCAATCTATTTTTTATAAATATAAAATTAAAAGAATAGTAATAATAAACATGTTAGGAGATTTATCACTATTCTTAATTTTAAAATAATTAAAATAATTTCAATTAAGACACTAACCAGATCTTGCAAATCAATTTTTATCAATCAAAAGTGGTTTAATGATCATAAGAATTTTAGGAATATATGGACATACCATAGTATCAAGCTTGTAAATAACACGATCAATTACTTTAACTAATAAATGACGTTCTTGGTCTTTTAAATTTTGAGACATCAATAGTGGAAGAATTTGATTGACAAATGGACCAGTTTCAAAATCCTTAGCTTTATCTGTAACTAGAGTGACGACAAGTGGCGGGCGATAACCACCACCACCATCCTTATGATAAACACTTACTCATCATTCCTCGTCTCCTTTTCTTTACTTCTTTTTCTTTTTTTATCTAGAATTAAAGACATTTTTACAAAAAAAAATAAAGAAAAAGAAAAATTTATTTGATCGACGTGTACACATTAAATTATATTTATCCTATTGGTTTTTTTTGGAAAAACAATTTATTTTTTGACAGAGTCCAATGTGACAAAATGTGAGCGTTGTTGTTTGGTTCCTAAAGAAAACGTGTCAATAACTAACCAGAAGTACTATTTTTTACTTGTATTGATATAATGCTGTATTTTATTATGTTAAAAAAATTTATTTGTCTATCTGTTATTATAGGACCAGGAAAACTCTATTGTATGTGACCGCCAAATTAAATGACAAATCATATTATGCGAATCTTAGTTTTTTGTAATTATGCGAATCGATTTTCCGAACACATTTTAGAAATTATTAATAATGCGAATCAAAATAGCCGAGTACATATGAAATTTATTTTTATTGATTAAAAATATTTAAAAGAAAGTTTTGTGTACTTGACATATTAAAATGTGTGTATTTTGATCTATATTATTATTATTAATGATACATTCTTTGTGGTTACTTTCTGTAAAAAATGCTTTGACACTAGGTTGATTATTTATTAAGAAATCACAATTATTACTCTCAGAATACCTTTTAAAGTTTCCAACTTGATAATTGACTCCAAGTGAAATAATCTGACCACATTTACAAATAACTTTTTTAGCATTGACAAATTCTTGAAAGTTAGGGTATGTAGTAAAGCGTCTTTGGCGTGAATCATAAAGAATTTTTTTATTATTTTTATTATGACTTCTCATTTTAAATTTTTTAATTTTAATAGTGTAACCGATACATTTTTTTCTTCGAATAATATAAAAGCGGCGACCTTTTCCATTTTCTATCAATTGTTATTATAGTATGATCAAATAAATTTTGGACTTGGACATTTTAAAAAAATATAAGATCATCCTAATTTTCCCTTTTTAAATATATATACGTACCAATAATTAATTCTATCCAATATAATTAAACTTAATTAAAACTTTGAATATATTTGTAAAAACTATATAAGAATGGTTGGTGTTTATTATGCAAGATATTTCCTTATTTGCATTTCTTTGGTCAAGATTTTTACAACAAAATGAACACAGACTTTCCATTCAAACTTCTGAACTTAATTTAACGTTAAAAAAATAATAAATAAAAAATATCGCGCTTCAAAAAGGAATGGTCATTTTTAATATTAGAAATAATAATTAATAAAATTAATTCATTTTTTCAAAAAAAGCTTGGCTAATTTCCTTTAATTAATATTAATAGAATTGATTCCAAATTTTTTAGTGGCGGGAAAATATTCCTTCTCGTTTTTGAAAAAGGCTTGATTTTAATCGGATGGTGTTTTTTTTATTTTATTTGAACGTTTTAAAAAATTTGGGAAAGTAACCATGCATGATCAAAAAGGTTTGTAACACAATTAATTTGTGAATTGAAAATTTTCCTTTTTTTTCGAAAATTTCCAAAGTGAGATAGTATCGTTGCTTATGTAATTACTACTTGCTTACTCGGTACTCGGTGTACAATTTTCGTTTATAAAATCAAAAGTTTGTTTATTTTTCTCTTTTTTTTTTTAAAAAAAATAAAATATAAAAAAATAATTCCTTCTAAAAAAATTCTAAAAAATTAATCTTTTAGAACAACTTTTATTATAAACAAATTTTAAAAATCGATCAAACAATCAATACACTTTGATCAAATTGAATGGAAATTAAAATAATACGAAAAATTAGCTACAAAAACATGACGGTAAGCAGAAAAGGCTCTGAAAACACTGATTTAATAAAAAAATCAAAGAAAAGTCACTCATATAATTACAATTGCTTTTTTCGATAATAAATAAAAATCAGACTCTTTCCACAACTGCAAAATTATCTAGTGGCAAAATTATTACTATTTATGTACCTGATCTTAAAAATGCACAATTACTTCTTGAAAATAACACAAATTCAGGGCTACCAGGTCCTCAATTACTTTTCTATCTTGCCTTGTTAAATGAGTTCACACAACAAATTCCTGATTTTAAGATTAGTAATGCAGAATTGGCAAAAGTTTTTACTAATTCTTGGAGGAATTCCAGCATTGAATACACAAACGAATTTATTATCCTAGCAGATAAACTTGGACTTAGCTAAATATCCAACTCGAAAGTTGGAAATTAGTTAAGCAATTAAATTTTTGGCAATCGTTTAAGTTCGCAAACACAAATGTTTTTTTAATCATTTAATTGCGATTTTAATTTTAAGATTTTTAATTATGAACAATTTTATAATTCGTTCTTTATTAAAACCATTATTTTTAATCGCACAATAAATTCATAGTTTTGGTTTTAATAATGAGAAATTGGCAAAAGTTTTTACAAACACTTGGAGGGATTCCAGCCTTGAATACACTGACGTATTTATTATTTTGGCAGATAAACTTGGACTCAATTAAATACAACTCGAAGTCAAGTAATTATTTTAGCAAAGTGGATGATAAATATATAATGTTTTAAACACACACGAACAACATTTCGAGCTCTCCGATTATTTTTCTTGTTAGATGCTCCTAATTTTGGAGGAATTATACACAAATGAATTTATTATTTATCCGAGTTCGGTTAAGCAATTATTTTTTTTGGCAAAAAAAATTTTTTTTTTCTCGGTAATCGTTAAATTCGCAAACACAAACTCGCTTACTCTAATTTTAAGATATTTAACTATGAATAGCTTTTTTATTAAAATTATTATAATAATATAACAATAATATTTTTTATTGATTTAATCTTTTATTAATTATTTTTTTTATTAAACAATTTTTTTTAATGCAAACATTGTTTTCGTTTATTTATAATAATAACAATAATGGTCTTAAATATAGACAATGTTGGTAAATGACCACGTGATTTGCCAACATTGCTTGAATAAACAAAATGGAATGAGCGAATAAATTTTTGTATATTTTTTATGCAATTTGTTCATTACATTCTACAGTTTCTTCATCTGCACCCACCTATCATCATTATCTTTTTCCGACTTCTCTATTTTTTTTCTACTTTTCTTTCTACTTTTCTTTCTAATCCTTCTTTTTCACCAACATAATCTTCCACTTCCTCAACTTTTCCATTTCTCCTCCAACTTTACTTTCACCTCTTTGTGCTCTCATTTGCTTTTTTTAATTGTTCCAATTGTTGACGTTTTTTACTTTTTGAAGTATAAAAAATTTATTTATTTATTTTAATATTTTATATCTGTAATTACATCCTGATTGTGTTGAAATGGTTATTATAAAACAAAACATGAAATTTGACATTTTTAAATGTAATTAAAATATTAACATCCATATGCCAATCGCTATTGTTATGAATTGACAGAATTATAATAAATCTATGATAATAAAACATCGCGTAATAATACATCCCTCTCTCTCTGTGTGTGTGCGCGTTTAAATAATACATCTGTTTTTATCCCAAATATTATACACTTCATACACTGTGTACACTTCTTACTTTTTTATCATTTAAATGGTTGTTTAAATTACCAGTTCATAATGGAAATTCAGTCAAAATGAATAATGTCAGTCATATCTATGTTGTACTAATCCTTTAAATATCATTAGCTTGCATTGAGAATGAAAGTTCTGTTGAATTTAATAAACCATCACCTTGTGATTCATTATTAGTTTGATCTGTTAGATTATCAACATCTTCAATAGTGTTGGTTATATTGTCCAAATCCTGCATAACTTGATGAATATGAAGAAAAGAGATCTGGCTTTCCTTGCCAGTATGCTTTATAAAAATAAAATTTAATTAATTTTAATATTGGTATAACTTATTAAGCAGTGTTGCTATTTAAAAAACATTACTTGAGATTGTCCATTGAAAAGATCTTTTTATTATTACCTATATATATTTCTGCATATTTTCTTGGAGTTTTGATTATTGTTTCATGTTTTTCTGATATTATCCCATGCATAATATCATTGAATTTGATTGACTTATCTTCAAATGGAGTATGAATGAACACTTGAAATTTCTCATAAAAGCATTCCAATATTGATTTTTCATTGCAGCTATAATTTTCAGCATTATCCAAATATTTAGGATCTGAGGGTCATATTTTCTTTTGTTATGCCATGAAATCCTAATGTATTACTGTGAAGTTTTGCTTTACAATGTTGTTTTGTCTTTATAAAAAATCAATTATAAAAGTTTTTGTTAGTATATAATAAACTTATTAGATAAAAAAAAGTTATTTACCTCATTGAGAGGTTGTTCAAAAGTATATTTTTGAATCCTTGAAAATTTTTTTAAAGGTGCATGAGAAATTGTGCCAAATGATCCATCATTAATAAATTCAATATTTGAAGGAATTATAACCATAAAATAATACATTCCCTTTTAAGTTGATTTTTCCTTCTCTAAAATGGCAATTCTAATGATTTTAATGATAATTTGAAGCTTATTGTTCTTTTTGGTTTTTTTCTTTTGTTGTAATCTCTTCTACCTTCTCCATTTTGCCTTATCATTTGAACGACTGTGTAAAATAGTCTTTCAATAAATATCCTGCAGCTTATATAAATAATTTATTATTAACAGGTATAACGACACATAAAATTTAACATGTAAGCCCATTAAGTCGGATGCAATGATCAATTGTTTAAAATAAATAAGTGACCGACCTATCAAGTTTACATGTGCGTAGGGTTTGAAATAGTGTTGGTTTCCAAAACTAGAGAGTTTCGAAAGTCAAAAGGTTTCGCCATAAGTTGAAACTAGCTTTGATTTTTGACTATTGACTTTTTATTTAGTTTTGACATATAATTTTTAATTTTAGTTTTGGCTTTCATCTCTTCAAAATAGTTTTGGCGACCAACACTAGTTTGAAAGAAGGGCCAAAAAAACAAAATCGGCTGATATGGTAATTACATATTTTCTCATCACTATCCTTGTCCAAAGTTGATGCATGATGTTAATATATTGGCTGAAATGTTTGACTATATAAAAACAATCAATATATGTATCTTCCATCACACGTCACTAAAATTTATTATTTGGTGATCAGCAAGTATCACAAGTACCTGATTTAATTGGCTAAATTAATTTCGTCATAAGATCCTTGACGATAAATATGAATTTCGTCATGTACAATTTCGTCAATTGAATAAATTCAGCAATTTAGTCAACCATTCTTAATGCCCATAGAGTACACGATGCGAAGACATGGGTCATAGGTCGATCGTAAAGATCCTTTCATGGATTATATCAGTTTAATATCCCACATCATTTTATTATTTTTTAAAAATTCGAAGTTTAAAAAGATAAAAATTTAGATTTTTTATTTATAATATATTAATATTAAAATAGTTACAATAATTAAAAAAAATAAAATAAAAAAAAATAAAAGAATGAAGAAGTATTTTCGGAGGGTGGTGAGAAAGTGTGTAAATTGTCGTCGAGTTTGTTGTTGTTGTTGTAAATGGTGGATTTGTAGGTGGTGTAATTGTGATGTGACCTGTTCCAATGTAGATATTAACCAATAAAATTCGTGTGTATGACACTATAATTGAATTTCATTGGTTAACTTCATTGGAACCACATTGGAATGTTCCAATTCCAATTGGAATTTATTAGAATGCTCCAATGAAATTTTATTGGAACCATAAATGGCCTGTAATGACCGTATTTGATTTTGTTGAAAATTTACTTGATCTCGAAGTGGTGATTGTCGTGGTTGTCGTGATCTCCTAGCTACAGTTGTAGGACTAGGAGTTGGGTCGGAATAGGAGTAGAAGTAGAAGTAGGATTAGGAGGTGTAGGAGTATTAGGAGTAGGAGGAGGTGTATGTGTAGGTGTATGTGTAGGTGTCGGTAAAGGAATGTACGGTTGATGCATTAAAAATGCCAACGAATTGTAATTGTTGTTATTAATGTTGTTTTTATTAATGTTATTATTGTTGTTGTTGTTATTATTCATTTTGTTAAATTTTATAACTTTTTATCTTTTAAAATTTTTTTTAAATTTTGATAAAATGTTAATATTAGATTAAAAAATTTACAAGTTTAAATATTAAATTAAAATGAACTTTCCCTAAAAAAAAAAACCTGAAAACCCCGTTTAAGGATTGAATTTTACTACTAAAATCCACTAATTACTGTTTTTTCTTTGTGACAGATATGGTAAAAGACTCATTTTTAAATAATTTGTTTAACTAAATTACGTTTTATTATTATTATTATGTCGAGTGAGATTTTTCTATTACCCAAATAAAGATATATTAAACAATTTATATTTTACATTATTATTATTTTGATTGTTTATAATGTTTATTTCAAGATTAATTAAACATTTTTTTATCTAGTCCAATAACATGAGTGACAAAGATTTTGTTACTGTTGGTAATTAGTATTAATGTATTTTGCTTAAATATATAGAATATTTTAATACTAACTAAACGATATCTCCAATAATAAATTAATAAATCAATAAATCATTATACTTCTACAACATCCATACGAACAAGTTGTTAGTTATAATTACCCTCTTCTCAAATATTTGTGAACGTTGATTATATATAAGTTAATTAACATTCACGATTCCTATCTAAAAAAATTTTCCTTCTGCCCTCTGCAAAATTTCATTTTCCTCAAAGAATATAGTCAGTCATTATCTTTTTATTATTATCAATATATGTTATATGAATTCAATATTACCCATATTAATAAAAATTGAATTACACAATACGTAATAATGACACGAATCATTTTTACGATCAGATCTATTTAATATTAATTCGGTTAATGAATTTAATTATATTAATAAATAATAAATAATAAATAATATTGCCATATTAATCTAAGATTGTGTTACACAATGCATAGTATTCGGGTTAATAGTAAACCTAATTTATAAACTATACAATAAATATAATTGAAATTAATAAATAATCAAAAGATGTAATTCAAATATCAATATATTATTATATGGAGTGTTTGTGGTGGAATAATTGTTTAATCAATCGTTTTGATCTTCTATGTAGAAATATGAAAAAATAATTCATTCTAAAAAAAAATTAAACCCTTTTGATTATTCTCAAATTAAATTAAATTGAAATATTAATATTAGTGAAAACAAAGACTGATTGCGCAGTATTTATTACTATTGCACAATAAATAAATAAGCAATGATATTAATTATTACCAGACCATCCGATATCTATATTACGTTAAAACCATTTTATCTTACAAAATAATTGAGTTGACTAGATGACTCGCCATTCGTTATCGCATAATGAATATTAATTATTAAAATCTACCTCCAAATCATGCCTTAGAATAGCTACACACTATTATTACTATTATAATAAATAACAACCACATAGATATTTCGTCATGAAACAATTGATCATATATAATTTTATTTTTATTTTTATTTTTTATTTTTTTTTTGCGAGATTGTTAGTTTTATTTATTTAGAATTTATTTTATACATATTTTTAAAATACATAGTAACGTATAAATATCGTGACCAATCCAGAATAGTGGAAATTTAAAATGTTAACTAAATTTTTATATTGTGCAATGTAACTTTACAATACACGGCAAACATTCTAATATCTAGTTCTTATGTTATAGATTATATAGATTAAATTAATATCATGTAAATAACACAAGCTTGGTCAAATGACCTCAGTTAATGGTGAAACGAAAGAATAAATAATGACAATTTTTTTATTATCAAAATATGCTAATCAACTATTGAATCTATTTCATCTGATTTTTGGATAAACTAGTTTGCATTCAATTTCTGTTCAAGTAATGTTAGTTGACATGCAGAACTCTAAACCACTTTTTTGGAAATTTCATATGCCACGATTAGTAATTGCGATTTTAATGATGCTCTCAGTAAATCTCTTCATAGCAAAAAATAGAATGGAAATAAATGTTAATAATATCGAAATTATACACTGAAAAATATTGCTTATAAATTTGGCCAGGCGTTAACATATTAATATCAGTACACAGGCAAACTCGATAAGTCGGCCCGCAGTAATCAATTGTTTAAAGTACTTGATAATATAAATTATGCGGCCGACTTATCGAGTTTGCCTGTGTATTACTTAATTTAATACTAAACCCAAAAGTTAAAATTTTGAAATATTATGTCCACCATTGTATTTTAAAAAACCCGCCACCATTCAATTTAGCTTTAAAAAGGGAGTCTATTAATCTAAAAAAAAAAATTTGTCTCAAATTTTCTTTTTCATAGATTTTTTAAATTTGTAAGTTATGCTCAGAAGTGCAACAATAATTTTCGTGTTATAGTTGGCTCGGTCTAAAGACCTCCTAAATTTCGGGCAAATTTTAAAAGTATAGAAGTCATTTTCTGTCATACCTTTTAAAAAAATAGCGTTATTAGTTGGTAAAATAGGTCTTTAGTTTTAATGTAATAACGAGATATTCTCAAAAAAATTCTCTGTTGTAGAGTTCTATTCTTTTTTAAAACATGTACTATACTATGCTCGCGAGGAATTTTCCGCTATGATCATCGCTAAATTTAGACTAGTTTTTGATAATCATTACGAAATATAGCAATGACCTATATAGTTAGGATTCAAAACGTCCTTCGCGATCTGATTTTTACAAAGTAAATAAAGACATATATATATTTGTGTGAATTATCAGACGAATAGATAATACAAGCGTGTAACCAATTATTAAATTCAGAGGTGATGATAATTAAGCATTTTTCAAGAGCATCTTTGAACTTAATAAACGGAAAATGCATGGTCCGGGAAATTCTGAAGTGGGCGAAGCTCTCAAAGAATTAGATTCTTATTCAATTACTTTACTTACATTTGCTGAATAATTAAATTGTTTCATTGATTATTATATTTGTTAATTTGTTAATTTATTATCAGAAAAATTATTATGCGTAACCATTATAATGAATATCATTTGACATATATATCAGTTAGTATTAATACTCTAATAATTAATTTAAGTAAACTACACAGAAAAATGTTTAATTAATGTTAATATTAAAATAAACATTACAATATAAAGTAATTAAACAAACACAATACATTTTTAATTGGTTGAACATAAAAAGTAAATTATTCCATTAACAAATTACTTAAAAATAAGTCTTTACCATATCTATCTGTTAATTTTTATTAATTATGGATTGTATAATGCGTAAATAATAACTCATAAACAACTTGGGGGGGATAAAAATTAAATAATAATAAGATATCTGCTCATAAGAGGGCGTTTTGAAAAGTAATTCATTACATGAATGGCATAAAGATGTTTTTCATCTCACACACAGTTGCAAAGAAAAAAAACAGGAATTCTTAATTAACAACCATATGTGTTTGTTAATTTTTATCAGTA